CAGAAAAAATACCAGTGAAAACAGCTTTATTGAGAATTTGGCTGCATTAAAATACAGTTTGTGAGCACTATCAAATTATTTTTTTTTTGCAAGTGCAATGCATTGTAAATGGTTATTCACTGTTTAAAAGGAAATGTCTGCTTTTTTTTTTGCAATAACACTTAGTATTTGCATGTGTAAAGTGTCTAATAATTGGTCTTCAGTGTTAGACTTTGAGTGAAAAGCCTATGGATAGTTTATGGGGATGCACATAAATATATTTTATACACACACACACAAAGAAAAAAAATCATACAGACTTGCGAACCCAACCATGCATACAAAAAAACAACAAAAAAAAACAAACAAACTTGCAAGCACAACCATGCAGGATGCAAACAAACAATACCCTTTTCACTCATACACACGCATTCACTCACAAATATTAATAAATCACTCACTCAAATCACCTCTCTCTCTCTCTCTCTCTCTCTCTCACTCACAGATTAATAATGTACAATAGTCAATCCACCTGATAAACAGGTGCAAGGTTTGTGTGATTCAATTAAATAACTTTTCTTGTTGGAAGGAAGGAAGGATCTAACTTAAGGATGTGTTCATGTCCCATAAAGGTGATGCCTGTTTGAATGCCATTTGGTGGCATAGGAACCATTATACTTTAATTGTTTACAGTTTTTCTGAATTGTTAAAACACTAAACCTCAATCTCTGAACCAAATTCTTACAAACCAACTGTACAAAATCTGAGCCAGTTCAGAGTGCACAAGTGGCACAGGTGACTGAATGATGATACGAACAATAGATGGAAACAATCTGAGAAGGAGAGCAGGAAGAGTACATGTAAGAAGTAGAGGATGAGGAGGAAGAGGATGAGGAGAGAAAGGTTTAGAGACTGTTATCAAGGCTGGATCTGTCAGACAAGAGGGTTTTTTCTCTTTGTCTAGCAAAAAAGACAACATCACTTGTGATGTGGACAAAGTCCTGCAGGCCGGGACTCAAGCACAAAGACATGATGCTGAGACAGACTGAATCTCTCCTTGACCCTAATTTTACAATTGCACAACTTACAGTATTTGTTTCTCTTTGTCTAGCAAAAAAGACAACATCACTTGTGATGTGGACAAAGTCCTGCAGGCTGGACTCAAGCACAAAGACATGATGCTGAGACAGAATGAATCTCTCCTTTACCCTAATTTTACAATTGCACAACTTACAGTATTGGAGTGTACTGTAACATGCTATTCATTTAGAGTTTTATTTGACCTTTTTGGCCTTTGCAGTTGGACTGCAGTATTTGTGTAGTATCTAAGTGCTGAATATATACAAACATTCAGTACTATTAAATATTCAGTGCAAGTGGCACCGTTTTGCAGTGATTGCTTGATTTTGATGGAAGAGTCAGAGGTTTCGTGAATTTAGTTTGAGTATTTAGATTTGTGTTTAAGGCTTTGAGAAAATGAGTGATGGTTTCAAGAAAAGTGTTTTAGCAATTCAGAAAAACTGTAATACCTTTTCACGGTTTTCTGCAATGTTTGAGGCATATTGAAACAGCTGTACCTAAATACTTTATATGCTTTTTTGTTGGCCTAATTTCAGTTACATTTACATTTTAGGCTATGTAGTTTACATTTTTATTGTTAGATTTTTATTGCATTAACAACTCAGCTGTATGTGGACAAAATGCATATTACACTTTTTTGTTGCAAATAAAACTCCCATAGTCCATAGTTACTGTAGTTTTAACTTATTTTAATATATAAATTTAGTTAAATCATCAAACATTTGTATGACTTGACAGTGACTTGCTTGACCCAAGCTACGACTTGACTTTAATTGCTTGACATAAAGCAGTGACTTAACTTGACTTGCTTGATTCTCACAAAAAATGACTTGGACTTGCTTGAGACTTGAAGGTTAAGACTTGAGACTTACTTGTGACTTGCACATGTGTGACTTACTCCCACCTCTGCTAATAATCGACATTCAAAAGCGCCAGAAGACCAAATGTGTGCATGATAACAAGCAAATAACGTTACATTAGCAGCTAATGTGCTACTTGGCTTAGCCGGTCAGCTAGCTAAACCCCAAAACGCATGCTCGTGCATGAAACAGCTGCATATATTGCGGTAGTACAGAAACTTTGAAATATAACTTATCTGCTAAACGAGCAGCGTGTGCGAGTGAATGAACTCACTGTTGAGTTTGATGGCGTCCATCAGCTCGCTCTTCACTTCAGCATCATGTCTGTGATCATCCAGAGTCAGTAAAAACTTCAGCTGAGCTATTCTCAGGTTGGGGTTTTTAGGTAAACCCTCTTCCTCCAGGTTTTCCAAAGGCATATTTGCGGAGTTAAAAGAGATCTACAGGAGGACGGGAGTCTGTGTTATGGCTGGGAGTGATAATGATAACTAGTGACAACGATGACTAGGGGGAAATCTAAACAAAAAATGTATAAACTCACTTCCTCTTGCTCGAGACAATGACGCAGCGAAAAGACAGTCTATCGAAGTCAAACAACCTCTCAAAAACAACAAGACTGCCCCCACCTGGTTATGTGTTATATTGCACCCACAAGGGTTTTTAATCTTTTAGATGCCACGGACCCCAAATATGATCCTCCTCTTGCGAGGGACCCACATCCTAAAATTAAAGGACAGCTATATATTTTCACGAAGACCCTATTTAAACTGTGAAAAATAATACTATAAATATGTGTAAAATATAGTCATTTTACTAAAATTACTTTACATTATTCTTTCTTCCTTTCGTCTTTCAATATTAATTTTCATACATCAAACTGATATTTTAATAAATTATTTAATTATTCAATATTAAATTAAAATGTATTTATTACTTCTCATACATGTTTTTTTCTCCCTTAATAGACTCCAGTTCACACCTAACCATTCAATATTCAGATAAACCCACAAAATTATAGTATCAATAATACATTTAAAAATGAAACAATTTTTAATTCGGACAAATGCAGATAGATATAGATAAGCAGATAGATACCTTTTAGGAGACAAAATGTGACGAGTCATTCCAGTGTCAAAAATTAATCAAAATGCCTAACAGAGATGACGCTGTATTTATTGGAGAGAAGCAGTGCTACTTCATGGACACAAGAAGATAGGCTACAAGCAGATAAACATGAGGAGCGTGTTGCAGGAACTGGTCGGAGCATGTTATTTAATTATACTGCCAGATCTTAGAAATTAGATGAAATCTACATTTTTATAGAAGAATTAAAGAATTATCGTCTCATTATATTTCAACAAAATAACCATAACGGTAAAGCTTGGTATTTATGTCTCAGTAAATTAACCCATATATTTTCTTTATATCTTTCAAAAAAGCTCAGAGTTAAACTTTTAACCAAAATGTAGTCATTTACTCAAGATGTGGCTTTATGTCATTCTTAAACAAGAGAAAACCCCTCTGTGCTGGCTTTGCAGTTTAATGTGAAATATCTAAAGCATTGACTTTGTTGAATAAGTATAGTCAATGAACAGTGTGTCTGTAATTTCAGGTTGGTGGCAAAGCACTTATCTTTATCGTTGTGTTGGGATTGGGAGGATCTTTTCAGAATGGATTTCATCTCACAGCAATCAGCTCTCCGACTCCAGTGCGCACTTGAATTTGTATTTATTCTTTTCCTGTTATTACTTTAAGAAAGCAGGTTACACTTTATTTGAAGTGTCCTTGTTACAGTGTAATTATAAAACATACTGAGTAAGAAGATGTACCAAAAAAATCATGGTTCCAAAAAGGAGTTTTTTGCTGCGATGCCGTATAGTAACCATTTGTGGTTCCTCAAAGAGCCATTCAGTGAAACATACTTGAACAAACCATTTTTTTAAGTGTGAAGAACATTTTAATAATCTAAATAACCTTTTCCACTGTAAAGAACCTTTGGTGCAAAAGAAAGGTTCAATGGATGTTAAATGTTCTTCATGGAACCATAGAAGCCAATAAATAACCTTTATTTTTAATAGTGTACATACTATAGGGTTAGGGTTTAGTTTAGTTGCTTGTAACAACAACATAAAGTGTAACCAGAAGGCCATTTAAGTATCACTTTTTTCTATCGCCATTTCAGTACCATACTTACAGTCTAGGTATGAATCAATCGATCACGATTTGTCTCAAATCTGTTTTCCTACAGTACATTCAGAGCTTCATTAACAGCAGCTGGATGGATCACTACGGGGATGTTCCAGGAGAGAAGACCATCACTTTTATCTGGTCTGCTGTGGTGGCTCTATATGGTTTAGGAGGTCTCTTTGGCTCCATGACTGTCAGATACTTTAAAACGTCTACTACCATTTAAAGGTTTGGGGTAAGATTAAAAAAAAAGTAATACTTACATTAAGCAAGGGCACATTAAATTGATCAAAAGTGACAGGAAAGACATTTATAAGATTTCTGTTTCAAATAAATGCAGTTCTTTTAACTTTTCATCAAAGAATCCTGAAAAATTATTTTCACCAAAATATTAAGCAGCAAAGAAGTGCTTTAAGTATAAGAAAGTAAGAATAATTATGAATAATTGAGCACCAAAACTAACTGAGCATCAAATCAGCATATTAGAATGATATTTGAGGGATCTTGTGACACCGAAGACTGGAGTAATGGCTGATGAAAATTCAGCTTTCCATTCAAAGGAATACATTATGCTTTAAAATATAGTACATTTAAAAACAGTTATCTTGAGTTGTAATAATATTCCACAATATTACTGTTTTTACTGTATTTTTTATTAAATAAATGCAGCCTTGGTGAAGAGAAGACCTCTCTCAAAAACATTATTTTTTTATTTAAAAAAAATCTAATAATTCCAAATTAATTCAAATAATTCCTTTTGACCAGTAATGTAGAGAGGGTGAATTTTCAGTTCATGCCAACTTTAATGTTTGATTTGCATCTCCATAACCTGTGTAAGTTCCGGAGAGGCGCACATTAAAATGTGTGTAACCTGAAATCAGATTGGGATCAGTTGTCATGGAGCAACATCATGAATCATCCATGTGTTTTTGAACAGTATTTGTGTTTGTGTGAATGCGTAGAGCCTGTTCATTGAGAGTGTGGGGAGGAGAGCCTTGATGTGGAGAGGGTTTGGGGGAATGTCAGCCATTATGGCATTAATCACTGTCACCCTCTACCTAAAGGTGAGTCGCTATCATTTAACAGCTCACAGCGATCAGAACAGAACAGAACTTTATTACCTCATCTCTATTTAATTTGCAGGACTACAGCTCTGTGATTCCATACAGCACCATTGTCCTCATTTTCCTGTTCTTCATTTTCTATGGGGGAGGCCCAGGTAAACTATTTATATATTTATACAACATTTAGTTTCAGTCCTCAAATTTGATCGGTCGCATTCCAAAAGCACCAATAACAGCTATATTAGGGTGACCATATTTTAGTTTTCCAAAAAGAGGACACTTCGCCTAACAGTATATGTAGCAAGGTTTTTTTTTTTGTTTGTTGTTTGTTTGCTTTTTTGTTTTTAGAATAAATAAAAAGAAAATAAGTAGAAAGAATAGAGAAAGAACAGAGAATGCTAGTGTTAAAAGCTCTTTTTGTTTTACATAAAACAAGTAGTTAGAATAGAAATAGAATAGAGAGTGCTAGAGTTAGAGGGTCAAATGAAGATGAAAGAGATGTATTTTCAAATAAATGAAAAGATTAAAAGAAAAAATTATTAAGGACTCAGCTGCTTGGATTGAGTTGGGCAGGTCATTCCACCAGGAGGGAACAGTTAATGTAGAAGTCCATGAAAGTTTTATCATAGGTAGAATACAAAATGTTTCAATACAAGCATTTCTGTCAAATGTAATTTATGTAATATTTCAAACCTTTAACCCACTTGGGAAAATCAACCCATGGCAACAGTTTAAAAGTAGCCCAATTCTGGGTAAAAAAGGCGGACTTGGCAACCTTCATCCAGCAAGAGCTGCAGGAGTCAGAGTTGACTGACCACAGGTCAAGAATAAGGAGAGATGACTGACAAGACCACACCGCATTCTGAGAGCGGCTCCCTGATGCGCCAAAATTATATACAATATTAGAATGTTTAAAGGAGTGGACACAAAAATCGCGGGAGCGAAGCACCTGTTGCGGGAGCAGGCGGCAATGGTCAGAGATTCAGCTGGAGCAAGATTAAGAAAACAGCCAAATCCTGGACATTTTGGGCGATTAAGAAATCCCGCCTGGACGCATTTTTTTAGGTCCAAAAAGAGGACATGTCCGGGGAAAATAGGACGTATGGTCACCCTAAGCTATATGTAACGGGCTGTGCACACAAAATGCATTTTTGCATTCCATTTTCATTGTTTTCTATGTAAACATGCGGTTTACAAATGTGTTTCACCATCATGCATGCATACTTAGCAGCATCTCATGCACTCGTGTTGCCTTTCTAAAAAGGCAGCATCAAGTTCATAGAAATTCAACTTTTAAAAAACGCATCTCTACACCTTGCATTTTTTAATTATTTCATTGATTTTTCATTCCACTGCCATGCATCTCACATTTATCTGTGTGAATGGCCCCAAGGAGCACTGGGACTTTTTATTGTTTGCATCACTCCCAGATCCATTCAAAATCGCTGATTAATTCGGGAACTAAACAAGTTTTAATGATTAAAACACTGAATCATTGCCTTGACTAATTCATTCAGAAACACTTATTCATTAAGAAATGTAACATCTCTAGTGTGTTGCTTGATTTGTTTGACAGTTGATTTTCTTCTTTGTTTGGAACTAGTTTCATTGGCGGAGCAACAAGCAATGCTGTGTCTAATCAGTGTGGTCAAATTTAAAGGGGTCAAATTATGTTACTAAAAAGCACATTATTTTGTGTATTTGGTGTAATGAAATGTGTTTAAGTGGTTTAAGGTAAAAAAAA